GCGGCGCCGGCTTTATGCTAATGAAGCCCAGGAAATTCAAATCCCGGGCTTCATTAGCAAGTTCGGTATGCATACATTACCTCGCTAGTTCGAACTAGTGGGGTAGTGTAGACATACCCTTTGGTATTAGGTTTTCTGACCTGTTAAGACAGTCTGACAATTTTTTTCCCAAAATATTTTTGAGTAAAAAATATTTCCCCAAAGTGCTTTGATTTCCATGAACAGGTATTTTCCACTAAAAAAATATGTACTTGAAAACATCATGATTAATTCTAATGCTCTTGTAAAGTATTTTGCATGATGATTATATATGAGAGATACTAATAAGCTTGGACATGTAAGAGAAATGAGGATGGAGATTGGGAGTCTTTTAAGTCTCTTGTTCAATATACATACAATATTTTGCTTACAAAACGGCTAAATATTTTGGTTAAATATTTAAATGAAGCATGAACAAAGAAGCTAATATATATTTTAAAATATTTTAAATCAATTTCTAAAGATCCCATTAACCTTCACAATGTCAGCTGAATACTTTCGGTCCCAGAACATCTGCCTTGAAAAGTTGCTCATGCCAGAAAGTAACCAGTAGTTGTAAAAAGTAAACTTTCAATCTTTTCATAGTCATGGCAGTTAAAAAAAAAAAAAAAAAAAAAAAAGCCTTTGGTTTTAAAAATGTCTCTTTGTTGCAAGCAGCTCCCTTGGATACATCAAATATGTCAAATCCAAGGGCATGGTTCTGAGAAGTCCACAACGTCTCCTTTTTGAAGTACTTAAGGGAGTAGCTATTTGCTAAAAGAAACTTTATCTTAAAAACTAGACTTTAAAGCTTAAAGCTAGGCTGCAAATGGATTTTAAAACATTTCTTAAATAAAGCAATTACTCTTGGTTAAGAAGGGCTCAGTTCCATTCATGAGTACTTCTAATAAAAATTGAATGATGGAGGCTGAAGCAGAAATGCCCAGTGATCGTTTGAACTGACATGGAACATTTATGGCCCTTTAACCCTGAAGGATTTTGATTGATTTCAACTCCATTCAGATGAATGAATGAAATAAAAACAAAATTAGAATTTGCATTCAAATTCCTAACACAGGCAGGAAACACTCAAAATGTAGGAATCAGTGAGCACTGTTATTCCCCTTTCTTTATTTATTCATTCATTCCCCTTCATGTCTTATATAAGAACAGTTTTGGATTGATAGCAGTAATACTCTATTCACTTCGATGACATAGCACTCTACTTACAGATTTTGTTCTTCTGAATAGACATTTTCCAAATGGACACGTTTCTTGAAAATAACAATTATATGCCCTAGCAGTTATGCATCATCATTGTTTTCTTGTTCAATTGATTGATTGATTATTATTTTTACTTTAATTTCCATAAAGTAATATCATTACTTCTGTACTTACATGAAAACTGCTGGAAATGAGGAGTCTTATTGAGAACAAAAAGTGGGGGCATTTGGGGAGCAATATATGTAAAATGTTTAAGAGTTTTCAAAGGATAAGTCTCCAAAAATAGATATAAAAGTAGATAGAACTCCAGTGTGAACCCTATAAAATAAAGGTAAAACCAATAGTGGAAAAAACTTAATGGTTTAACGTATAAGATTAGTTTGTATTAATGTCATCTTCTTTCTTCTTCTTTGTTTTTTTAATTTTGTAGTGCCTCAAAATGTGTTAAATGTGTTTCATTGAAGAAAAGCATAAAAAAACCTATGACCCCAAAGAGTCCAGCTTTGACACTGTAACAAATATATACCTAAAAAACTTATATGGCACTCATTAATATAACGTCTGAGTGTTTTAGTCTTTTTAACATATTTCTTCTCACAACAGCTTGTGAGGAAGGGCTGTATTGTTATTTTCATTTTAAAGGCCTAACTCCACAGAAGCTAAGGCTTTTGCCCATGATCACACAGGAAGTCTATAGCAGAGTAGACCTTTGTTCTGAGGTCTACATCAGTGCACTGACCACTAAATCAGCCATCCTCTCACAGACATTTGGGTGGAAGGAAGGTTGGAGTTTTTGTAAGGTATGACATAGAACTAAAAAGGAATTTTCTCAGTGAATCTTCTGCATGCAGACTGCCACTGCAGTGCCCAAAACAAATGGTGACAGAGGCACATGAATTCCTGGGGTGAGGCTAGCCCTATTCCCCTCCTGTAAAATCCCTGCCTGGGATCAGATCGCCTCCCTGTCCTTTCTCATGTGATAGTTGTGAGTTTAATCAAGTCTGCCTTTTTCTACATCAAACATTGACACTTCCACCAGCCAGCACCTAGGTCTGCTGTTGCAATTGTGCCTCACCACTAACTTAGTTAACCTATAGTAATAGAGATGTAGCCATGTTAGTCTGGTCTTGCTGAAACAAAAGACAGGGCTATGCAGCACTTTAAAGACTAACAAGATGGTTTATATGATAAGCTTTCATGGGCCAGACCCACTTCCTCAGATCAAATTGTGGAAGAAAATTGGCATGACCAAAAAAAAAAGTGAACACATATAAAATTGACAAATCAGATTTTAGAACAGAGGGGGTAGGGTGTGGAGGGGAGGTAACATTTTATATGTGTTCACTTTTTTTTTTGGTCATGCCAATTTTCTTCCACAATTTGATCTGAGGAAGTGGGTCTGGCCCATGAAAGCTTATCATATAAACCATCTTGTTAGTCTTTAAAGTGCTGCATAGTCTTTAAAGTCTTTTGTTTCAGTTAACCTATGTTAGGGTATGTTGACACTTTCAGCCTATTTTGAAATAGAGCTGAAAAAGTAGGCATTCTTAATTACAAATCAAGTCCGGGATTTAAATATCCCGTGCTTGATTAGCATCTTCCCGGCCGGGCGCCATTTTTTGAAATTTACAAGCCCGGAATAACTGCCCACGTCAACACGTGGCAGTGAAACGGGCATTCGAAATAAAGCCCTATTTTGAACTACCTGTTATTTCTCCTGCAATGAGGTTGAACAGCTAGCTCGAAATGGGGCTTTATTTCGAACACCCATTTCACTGCCACGTGTAGAAACGGGCAGCTATTCCAGGCTTGAACATTTCAAAAATGGCGCCTGGCCAGGAAGATGAAAATCAAGCACGGGATATTTAAATTACGGGCTTGATTTGCAATTCCGAATGCCTACATTTGCAGCCCTATTCCGAAATAGGCTGCAAGTGTAGACATACTCTTAGACACCTGCCATACAAATATCTGTACTGAGGTGCCCTGTCCCTAGCCCTAG